ACCAAAGAGTCCAAATCCAGCAAATCATTTTGGAAAACTGATTTTTGTAAAGAAGTGCCAAACATGGACTGCTTTGCCAGATACAGAGTCGCCACCTAAATATTTTTTATTTTGGGAGAATTTAGGAAACCCTAACTCGTGCCTAAGGCCACGTGTCCGTCATCACCAAAGTTGCCTCGGCCCGAGAACTTGGGTACGAGAGGGAAAGGTCATGTAATGAGCACCCCCGCTCGCCCGATCAAAGATCAGCCTATACTAAGCATGATATCTCGTTTTTGAAAACACATGCGTTCTTATTCCAATTATTAGCTAGATTTACTATGTGATGCGCACAACACACAAGTATAGACTAGGTCGCTTAATTTGGAACAAAGCATTACATATTTGTTGTTTGAAAAACGGTTTGAAGTTTGCTACTTGCAAGTAGTCTAAATCGAGCATTCAATGAATTGTTCCAATTCAAACAATCCAACCTTCATCCACAGGCATTCAGGCAGTTATATCACATAAGCAAATAACCTCATGGCAAGCATGCTATCATGGCAACACTTACACACATGCAAGGATGCTGAAGCATAAACACTTACAGTGTACTCTGAGCCAAAATAAAGAACTAGTTAGTAATCAATGCATGATCCTAGTTCATGTTAAGATGGCTAATGCGGCACATGCAAAATGCAACTAGAAATAGGCTCAGCTATTTTAAGATGGCATATGAGATGCGACAGCTCGATACATGGATTCAAGTAGGAATTGAAATACAATGCAGTTAGTATGATGTGCCGAGCCCGGTGAATGCAATACAGATGAATGATGCAAACATGCATAGCATAAGGATGCTAAATTAAATATGCCCTAACACTAGCCATAGTAAGCGGGTAAGTAAAAGGGAGAAAGACGTGGGGTTATAAGACATTCACACACTCACGCACACTTATTATAAAATTCGCCCTCTCGACGGAGGGTCCGAAAGAATAATACAAATAGACTAATTAATCAACTAACAAGCTAATTAATTATTACACAACTCTTAACTAATTAAACAAATTAATTAAGCTACAAAAATAGTAAAGCGACCTCGACAAGAGGGACAAATGCATGCTCAATCGGCTTCGCTCGGAAATCTATTGCCATACCTCATGTTGCCTCTGTTTGCACTGTTTTGCACCTCTGAAAACAGTGCAAAGTCCTGTGATGCTCTAGAACCACTTCATGGACATGCTGAGAGGCCATCGGCCAAATGGTGAAGCCATCGGCCAAAGAAAAGGTGTCATCGACCATTTATGCGGTCATTAGCCAAAAACTTTTAGCCGATCGGCACACCAGATAGCCGATCGGCCACCTTTTCCTGCAAAATGATGTTTTGCTCCAGCAGAGGACAAACAGAGGTATAGCAATACATTTGTAAGAAAATGTTTGCAACTACACCCCTTATCATGTTTAAGGATCAAAGGTGTGTAGTTCTCGACCCTTAGGCCACCAATCATACATTCCAATGCATGATGGCCAAAGGAGCCAAGTGTGCAATTCAATGTGGGATGAATGCACAAAATCACATAAGAGACCTCAACCTCTATCATGTTTGATCAAGAGACAAGGCATGCACACACAATGCTATGCAAACATGCAAGCATGATGCGATGAAATTAGCATGCAATAACATGTAATGGAATTAGCATGTAACAACATGCAAATCAAGCATGCAACAACATTCGAAAATGGGCTTAAACTAAAATGGACAATTGTCAAACATGCTCAAATCAGCGGCCAAAAGTGCTAAAATGATGGTACCAAAATGCAAAACAAACATGCATACCAATTGGCCCATAAGCTAGGCAACAAGACACAACTCTCAAACATGAGCAAGGTGTGACAAACATGAGAATGTGGCAATGCAAAAAGCTCTAAAAATATGTGAGGAATGATGCCAAATCAACCAAACAAAGCAAGTATAGCATGCAAGAAAGCCTAAAGCTTAAGGCTAGCCAAGGGACTCGAACCATGGCTATGCAAGGCAAACCCCAAAGGGCCAAGGGCACCCAAAACAGTCCCAAGGCAGGTTAAGATAGGGCCAAAAACAAGCTTAAACCTAGCCAACACAAGCTAGGACAAAAGTCCAAAAGATTGAGACATGCAAGGCTACAAAAGAGGTGTTATACTACACCCATCAAAACCAAACATGGCATGACTTAACCAATGAAAAACAGAGTTATGGCATGGTAAAACAAGACCAAAAACCCACTTAGATGGCATCCCAAAGACCTAAGCATGGAGGCATGCACAATGATCCATTCATGAGGCATAAAAACATCAACTCTTTAAAGCATTAAAGGAGTGATAAGTGCAAGTATATGAGCATGAAACATGGACTGAAAACACATATAGAATGGTGCCAAATCATAAGAATAGTCCTAGCAATGCATGCTAATGACTTGGACACTCAAACCCAACAAGCTAGGTTGAACCATGGCTATACAAAACGATGCAAGCATGACCAAAACAACACCAAACAGACCTTAAGAATGGTAAAACAAGGCTAAAAGCTTCTTTGGGTCAAGCCAAAATCATGCTAAAAACATGGCCTAAAACACAAAGCATGTTAAGGTAATTTCATGGAAATGTACTACAAGTGCATGAGACATGCAAAGGCTAACCAAACCAAACCTAAACAGAGGTATGACAGGGTAAGACAACCCCAAATACATACTGAAATGGACACAACATAGGCTAGAATGACATGTTACTTCATGAAGCATACAAGACTAGTGTGTGTGATTTACACTACAAGTGTATAAACCATGCATGGAGTGATCAATCCAAGCAAAAATAGGGGCAAGCCTCAGCAAAATAACCACAAATACATGCTAATATACATTCTAAAACAAGCCTAACAAACATGCTCATACATGAGGCATTCAAGGCAAGTATTGAACACACAAGGAGAGGGGATAACCCTCTCCTTTTTGGGACCTTAAAACACCGTCCCCACCACTGAAATCCTAAGGGATTTTAGTGGTGAGAAGGCTAAAGCAAGGTGATCCCGAAGCTCACAAAGAAGGCACAAAAGCAAGGCCAAACAAGGCCTAAAGGGGGGGTAAACAACCCCAAACCAAAAAGTGACCTTAAACAAAGGTCTCAAGCATGCAAAATCAGAACTTTTTTAGTTTAGAGCTAAGCTTAAAACAATATGAAAATAGGTCTAAAAGCTTAAGCAAGAATAGGGGTTTGAAAGCAAGAAGCTCACCCTTGAAGAACACCTTCAAGAACACTACTCCAGCAGCCTCCTCTGGCCAAAACTAGCTCAAGAACACTAAAAACAACTCCTAAGGACCTCAGCAACCAAAGGATGGTGTTCTACTAGGTGTTTGTGTGCAATAGTAAGACAAAAAGACACTTTGGAGCACAAAACAAGGATCAATAAGGAGATATAGATACAAATGTATATCTATCTCTCAAGACTCCATCTTCTGAACCCCTGAGAAGGGAGGAGGGGCTCCCTTCTTATAGAATTCCAATTCTCAAGCTTGTTGAGCAAGCTTGAGTCTTGAAACAAATCCCTCCATACACGTGTATGGAGGATGTGAATTATGGATACCAGCTGTCACAGCTGGCGGAAAATATATGCAGAAAGCAGATGGAAAGGTCTCGGTTCAAAAATATGGCCGATCGACCAACATAAGTGCCGACTGACCAAAAAGAGTGCCGATCGGCTAACACTTTTGGCCGATGGCAAGAACACAAGGCCGATGGCATCATGCCTTGGCCGATGGGTTGAGGGGATGGCCAACAAGCCAGCCTCTTTCCTCATAAGCAAAAACACAAGTGTTTGGTCCACAACCAAGCACAAAACAGACAAGTTAAGAGATCCTAAGGCAAGGCGCGCGACCGAGACCTCCGGAAACTCAAAACGAACACGAGCATGGATGATCATTGAGTGTTCAAACGATGACGTCCAAGTCTTGAGGACGGTCAAAAATGGGGTGTCTAAAATAACATATGAAGGTAGATAAAGGTAAATACGGATATTTAATATGAAATATGTCACTAAACTTAAAGTATATAAGTTGATTTTGCTTTGATTGTTTTTGGTTTGCTGATGGAAATTCAGAGAGGTAGAGAGAAATTGCACTGTTGCGTTGTATTATAATTTTTGGAAATCACATTCTAGTTTAACATGTTCATTTGCTGCCCAATTAAACGTCCTCGAGTGTGGATACTTTTTAAGTCATACTGTATTAACAGGTTGATCTTGATTTTCTAGATATCATCAATATTTCCTTTCCCCAATTTGTTTTCAGAAATAGGATTCATAAAAAACACATTTTACAGTTTCTTGATTAAGAGTGCGAAAATTAATTAACATAGAACAAAACAGCTCAAGATTTTCACCAAAAAAAAAAAAACGAAATTAAGATTTGATTATGAAGATTAAAGAGTATATATATGTAGAAGAAGAAGATGAAGAAATAAGGAAAATTAAGCAAAGTCGGCTAGTTTTATAGCAGAGAGGATGTTGAATCTGTCTATGTGAATATACGAGAAAATAACTAAACAGACATATATCTATCTCCAACTTCTGGACAAATCTCTAAACGGTCAGTACTTTCACTTGGGGAGAGAGGGAGACAGAGAGAGAGTAAGAAAGAGAGAAGAAAATTCTTCTCTGTTTTCTTAGGAAAATAATGTGAAGAAAAACTTTTTCAAGGCTACTCTCTCCCTGTTGTTCACACACACACACACACACATATTGGTGTTGTATGCTGGCTGTTGTCTTGGCCAAACCTTCAAGAAATAGAAATCTTTACATATAAACAAATCTCTCTAGTTACAATCTAGATGGGTGCTTCTGAATCAGTCCCTCAAAAATCCATTCATGATTTCTCAGTCAAGGTTTCTCTCTCTCATTCTTTATTTGTTTTACATACACGTATATATATGTGTTTGTTCAAATTGTTTTGTTTGGATTCTGAGAAAGTTTGGAATTTGTTTGGGATGTGCAGGATAGCAAGGGTAAGGAGGTTGATCTCAGCACATAAAAAGGGAAGGTTCTTGTTGTCAACGTTGCTTAAATGGTCTCTTCCCTTCTCTTCTCTTTTCTAATCATGTTTATTGTTGCCTCATATTTTGTGAAATTGATATATGGGTTTAATCTTTTATTTTTCTTTTCTAATATAGGGTTTCTATGTGATTTGTCTATTTGGGGGTTGAAACAGTGGGTTAGCAGATTCAAACTATACCCAATTGACTGAAGTTTACAACAAATACAAAGAAAAAGGTATGGAATCTTTCAATCACTCCATTTTTTTGGGGGGCTTTTGCTTTTTGTCTCTAAAAGTATATAATAACTGGAATAATCTCTTTATATTTGTGTAACCTTTTTTACTTCAATATTACATTTCCACTCATCTTTTATGTTTTCATCTGTGTTGGGTGGTATATGCCCCTGTAGAAAACCCCTTAGGTGTTATTTCTTTTCCTATCAATTGATTGGGACTAGAAGAACATATGAAAATTGCATAGACACATGTAACCAGATATTCTTTGTTGGTTGGTTTCAGGATTTGAGGTAAAATGTATATACTAAACTGAACAATCTTTTTATACTCATGTAACCTTTTTATACTTGTGTAATCTTAAAAATAAGGCTTTTATTTATTACATAATAGACACCAATATTTTAGTATCAAAAGCTAAAATTGAATGGTAAAAAGTATATACTAAATTGGTTTTGGTTTGAATATTCAATAGAGAGAATATTCTATAAAGTTTTTTCTCTTTTGCGATTAGAAAAAAAGAAGAAGAAGAAATGGTTTATTTTTGTAATCGTTTTGATTACGTATGTTTATCTAAGGTCTCTAGGTTATATTTTCAAGTTGGAAAAATAATATTAATAATATTGTAGACCTTGGTTTGTAAAATATTCATATACATGAGTGTATAAATTTTTTTGATTGCATATACATTAGTATGTATATATATTTAAATTACATATACATTCATCCATAAATTTAGAGTGAAAATTTTAGTTTGCCCTCATGGTTCAACTCAAGCTTCATTGAATAAGAGTTTGTCTCACGTTTAGTTCTTTGATGTTATGTGTTGAAATTCTATTTACCCATTAAGAAATTTTGAAGTTTAATGATTTAACTTTGTAGTATATTAATTTAAAAATTAAATGGAAATGAAGTTTGGTGTGTTTAATTATGCTTTTAACCCTATGAAATCAACTTTACAGGTTAAATTGGCTTCCCTTGAGAAGTTGTCTCTCAATGCAAAATGGATACTTCGATAGAGATATGCCCTGACAAACTTCAAGAACTAAGAGAGATGAGAGTTCAATATTCTGCACCCTTATTTTTGTGTTTTTACAGATTCTTAACATGAAATTCTGTTTATTTTTAATGGAACAAGTGATATTTGAAAAATTACTGTCCTAATTTTTTTGTGGACCGAAAGCTGGTGGTTCTCCATGAAAACAATATCAGTTGTTGTGTAATACATTGGCATGAAATTTTGTTTGTTCCTCTTGAATGGCTATGAGATGTATTGTGCTGTGTCACAGTCAGAATCTACTTGGCACCCTATTTATGTATGTTCTCTTGAAACAAATACATTTGATTCTTTTTTTTTCTTTTTTGTACTTGTGTTTGTAGTTGAAGCCCTGTTTTCCTTTTGCTACTGTACTTGCCAAAGTGTTTTTGAGGGCTTATGTATCACAGAATTAGCACAATTTTTTTTTAAAAAAAAAAAGAAAAAAAAGAAAAATAAAGCTATAACGGCGTTTTTTAAACGCCATTATAGTGTTATATTTTTAAAATAGAAAAAAGTTACCACGACGTTTTTAAAACGTCATTAAATGTTGGCGTGACGTCATGTTATTATTATAAAACACATTTAGAAACGCTGCCTATTCTCATATAACGACGTTTTTAAAGCGCCATAAAGATACAACGACAGCCGCATCTTTGACGTTTGGTACTAAACGTCACAAAAAGAATTAGCGGCATTTTTTAAACGTCTCTAAAAGCCTCATTTCCAACAGTGCTCATTGTAGACAAGAGTACGAGAATTTGCAATTTTTTGTGACGGTTTTTGTGGACCATCGTTGTTTATATAATTTTGGTGACGACGTTGTCGTTCAAAACATAATCCATTGTTGTTTATATTCTTTTGGTGATGATATTATTTGTCACTAAACCTCCACTCATCCCTTGAGCTCTTTTTAGTGACAAACGTCAATTGATGTTGATGACATTTTCCGTTATTAGTGACCATTGTTGTTTAGTAGTTATAATGATGATTCGATGTGGCAAATGGGCAGGTCTAGGCAAGTCAAAATGGGTTATGCATTTGAAACAATCTAAACCAAACACCCTTATATAATAAACGAGTGTAGCTTGCTTTTCGTGCTCCTCGGAAGGGTTTAGTCTCCTCGGATACAATAGCCTTATAGTTCGGACTCTCATGATTCTAAATATGATTTCACAAGTATAATGTGAAATAGATAAACACAAATGAGTCCAAATCCAACAAATCTTATGGAAAATCGATTTTTTGAATAAAAAATATCAAAAATGGACTGCATTTCCAGATTTCAGAGTCGCTACCAAAATATTTTTGGAAAATTTAGGAAATTAATGACTCGTGCCAAGGGCCATTTATCCATCATCACCAAGGTGTCTCGGCTCGGGAACTTGAGTATGAGAGAGAAAAGTCATGAATTGAACACTCCACTCACCCGGTCAAAGATTAGCCTCTACTAATCATGATGTGATTTTTATTTACATTATATGCTCTTGTTCTGATTATTATGCTAACATTACTATGTGATGCACACAAGTATAGACTATTTCACTCACTTTGGAACATTTTGATTTCATGTTTGTTTTGAAAAGTGTTTTGAATATGTACCACTTGAAAAAGAGATATCATATGTATAGTTAATCAAATTATCCCAACTTAAACAAAAAAAACCTTCATCAATAGGCATTCAAGCAGATATATCGACTAATCACTTAGCTTCATGGCAATCATGCTTGACATGACAACAATCACACACATGAAATATACTAAAGCGAAAATGCTCACATAGTACTCAACCGAGGCAAGCCAAAAGGAATAAAATAGTTAGAAAAAATGCATGATCCTAATGATGCAAATGGCTAATGCAACACATACATTATGCAAATAAGCTTGGCTACTAGCATGGCATGTGAGTCAATTCAAGGCATGCAAGAGGGCACGTATTTGAATAAAGAATTTGAAATTGACATTGGTTAGTATAATGAGCCGAGCCCGTATGCATGCAAAACAAATGGATGCAAATCATGGAAGATGCTAAGGAAAATATGATGCTACCATTATAATCAGGTAAATAAAAAGGAGAAACAAATGGGGGTTAGAAAACATACAACTTATGACATATTTGGCCCTCGCACAAGAAGATCCGAATGTCCAAGTGTCCGAACTAATTACTTATTACAAATTTGAATGAATAATAAATAATTATCTAATTCATTACAACAATAATATTACAAAAAAAAAATATATGTAAAGAATGCATAAGGATCGATGAAAATAGTCTTTAGAAAGCTCTCCCTGCCCTCTAGGAATCTGCTTTGTTTCACCCTCAGACACTGCTTTTTGTTTCCATCAAAAGTGTCCTGTTTACCATAAATCGGAGCCCGGCCAGCCCCCAATAAGACCCAACCAAGCCCAAATAGATCCGGTCGTGCTTTATTTTATTGCAGAAAAATATTTTTGTACTTTAAGGTGTGTTAGGTTTTATTCTTGGCAACCCCGTTTGACAAAACTCCTTTCAGTTGTATTTTTTTTCGCACTTTTATTTCAGTGAGGCTATGAGTGTTTAGATGCGAATCCAACCCGAATTGTGCTTTTCAGAGAAGGTACTACCTATGTTGCCAAATCCGGAGACAAAACATTGTATTGATTCAATTGTAATTTTTTGTGTTTTTGTTCTGTCCGCTCGAGCGGAGCCTTGTGAGCTCGAGCGTAGATTAGCAGGTCTCAGTATTTTGTCAGGGCAAGCAAAAAATACTGGTGGGTGTGATTTTACGCTCGAGCGAATTCTCCTACGCTCGAGCGCATCTCAGTTTGTTCGCACGCAGCTTTTGGTCAGTCCGCTCGAGCGGGCTGTGTTGAGCTCGAGCGGACCGCGCGATCCAGATTTCCAGATTTGATTAAAGAGTTGGTTTTGTTCTGAAATTAGGATTGCTTTGGTTTTCTATAAATAGTTGGTTTTCTCCCAACACTAAAGAAACTTCTCCAGATCTTATTTTTGGATCTTAAGGTTTAGATCTGGAGAGATTTTGCTAGTTTTCTTTGATGTTTTGATTGAGTCTTCAACTCAAGATGAAATAATTAGAAGAAATGCATCCTCCTAAAGAATGCAATATAACTAATGCAACGCATACAACGTGCAATTAATTAGCTCGACTATTAGTATGGCATGTGAGTCAATTCAAGGCATGCAATAAAAGCACATATTCAATTTAAGGAAATTGAAATTGACATTGATTAGTATGATGAGCCGAACCCTTATGCGTGCAAACATGGATATAAGTCATGGCAATGACATGGAAATGTAAAACATGATGATACCATTATAAGCAGGTAAATAAAAAGAAGAAAGAAGTGGGGGTTGGAAGACATACACACATATTACAATTTTCCCTCGCGTAGGAGGGTCCGAATGAATGTCCAAATTTAAATTAACTATTACAAACCAAATAAATGAATTAACTACACTAACTAATTATTACAAATTAGAATTAGGCTAACTAATTAATTACAACACGAAATTAATTAAGTAAGCAACTAGCTATTGTAAATTGAAAGCTAATTAATTACAATAGATTATGTATGAAATCTAATTTGCGCGGGAGCCGAGGAATCACACGTGCAACCAAGAATATCCTCCTGGAAACGCCTCTTTCTATTGCCAGATTCTGTTCTGTCCGCAATCAGAAAATAATTCTATTTTTGCCTCAACTTCTACTTTGTTTGCAAGAAAAATGCCACTGTTTGCTCAACAAAAGGTGGT